AAATAAGAAAAAAGTGAACTTTAAGAAATTTGCGAGATTTCCCAGGATGAGAAGTTAAAAAAACAACCCGGATCCAGGTTTCTCAAACGGGATCCCAGGATCCCGTTTGAGAGACCCTACTCTGCAGACATCGTAAGTTGGCCGATTTTTACGAAGAATAAAATTCATTACATTTAATCAAATGAAAGTTCTACATGTGATTATAGAATTGATTTTTATTAGAATTTCAAGTTTTCTTTTCCCATAAAAGAATGAATACAGTAGACCGCCCCTATAACACGATAGATACGTTCCGTGTTTTATGAAATTGATGTTCTACGAGTCCTTAAATACATGAGCCAATCACAGCCTGGCACGTGTGCAGTTTAGGGACTACGGCTGTTTGAAAGCTTTTCTTCCATTAAATTAATCGATTCTTGACTAATTTGATTCAACATTTCCAAAACACGTATAATTTTTTGGGAATAATCCATATAAAATATGCTACAAGCAAAAACTTTTAGGATTACTTACCGAGCGCGCACCGTTCGACGACGTCATTGCTTAAGCTTGTTTGGTGGATGTACTGTACTGTACTGTACATCCACCACACATTTTATTTCACCAAGTAAGTTTTTATTGTTTAATTTTTAATTGTAATCCTTTATCGTGGCTAGCGATTCAGAATGTAATTGTGATATTAAAAATACATTTAGAGAAGTCTGCGTTTTAACTGGTTATCGAATAAACGAATACAAATGGACCTTAAACCATCACTGGCGCGCAATTAACTGATTGCCCCTGGAAGTCGGCTTCTTACAGAAACACAGCTTCCCCATCATCAAATGTCACAGCACGCCACTGGTATCTGGTCCTTGTAAAAGGCAAAAATTTGTTCCGGATAAATTGTCCTTAGTGTGTTGAATGTCATACGTGTCAAATTATAATTTAAAAACTTTAATAACAAAGTTATCTGTAAAGATTTTAAAAGTTTTTGGTTTTATTTTATTTCTAAAATTTATTTATAAATTTAAAATATTTATTTGTTAGAATGTATCACGATATTACATAATAGGTATAAGATTAGTTAAATCATCACGAACGTTTTTCGTTATTGTTATGATGGGAATAAGGGGTCGATGCCTACTGGGCAAACGAGCAAAGCGCCTCTGGTCATGATATATGGAATATACAGTATTACGAAAATAAGTAACTATTGACGTCACCGAATCCGACATTTTATCCAGAAGGGGGCGCGGGAGTTTGTTTATTTTCTAATTGTCAGGTGAGGTTTTTCGAAAAATGAATTACTGTATATCAATGAGTTTTGGTAATGAATTCGAAAAGTTAATAAGGTAAACGCACCGGTAGTGGACACTTTAAGGAAAATTTTTCGACTTTTTTGAAACTGGACCCCTATTTAGAAGCCTTATGGCTTAAAAGTTATATTGTCTGTTAGACAAAATCTTTCTTCACTCACTGTAAGGATTTTAATTATGTCAATCTCGTCGAATACATTTTAATTTAATTTATTTTGTAAGGTTGAAAATGTTTCAGTAGTGGACATTGAAAAAATTGAGATATTTAGTAATGGACAGGCATTTGTACCANTTTATTTGTAAACAAAAAATTATAAGGATATTAAACAGTTATTATAAAGGTTTTCAATGTTGTTAACAAGAACTTTATCTAAGGTTGTATATGTAGTCTACAATACCTTAGATATAAGAACAGTAATTTTTTCAGTAAGATTGCAGATGTGAATGACACTATTGGGACCTTAACAGAGCTTTAGAGCAGTGATTTTCAACCGGTGTGCCATAGAAATTTAATTTTAGGTTCAACTGTGCCATGAGATAAAAAAGATTGAAAAACACTGCTGTAGAGCATCCATAGGAGCAAAAAAGTCAAAGGAATCATATATGATCCTTCAAGAGATATAGCCCCTGAAAATAGCCTACTTTCAGACACTATAGGGAGTCATGCTGCACCAGTGGTGCAGTTAGGATTTAATCTTGNGTACTGTACTGTACTGTACATCCACCACACATTTTATTTCGCCAAGTAAGTTTTTATTGTGTAATTTTTAATTGTAATTTTTTATCGTAGTTAGCGATTCAGAATGTAATTGTGATATTAAAAATACATTTAGAGAAGTCTGCGTTTTAACTGGTTATCGAATAAACGAATACAAATGGACCTTAAACCATCACTGACGCGCAATTAACTGATTGCCCCTGGAAGTCGGCTTCTTACAGAAACACAGCTTCCCCGTCATCAAATGTCACAGCACGCCACTGGTATCTGGTAAAAGGCAAAAATTTGTTCCGGATAAATTGTCCTTAGTGTGTTGACTATCATACATGTCAAATTATAATTTAAAAACTTTAATAACAAAATTATCTGTAAAGATTTTAGAAGTTTTTGGTTTTATTTTATTTCTAAAATTTATTTATAAATTTAAAATATTTATTTGTTAGAATGTATCACGATATTACATAATAGGTATAAGATTAGTTAAATCATCACGAACGTTTTTCGTTATTGTTATGATGGGAATAAGGGGTCGATGCCTACGGGGCAAGCGAGCAAAGCGCCTCTGGTCATGATATATGGAATATATTACGAAAATAAGTAACTATTGAAGTAATCGAATCCGACATTTTATCCAGAAGGGGGCGCGGCAGTTTGTTTATTTTCTAATTGTCAGGTGAGGTTTTTCGAAAAATGAATTACTGTATATCAATGAGTTTTGGTAATGAATTCGAAAAGTTAATAATTTATAACAAATTAGAAATTATTTGACGTTCGTTAGCTAAATTTTGAACTAAAATTTGGCTATCGTTCATATAATGTTCATAATCGATTATTTCCCTTTAATAACAATTGCTAATGGCTTTAATATATAAAATCTTTAAATTAATGCAGAAATTTTACAATATCCATTTAACAAACAAACGTCAGTTTCACTAAATATAATTACTGATGTAAAAATTTCCTATACCTGTCAAATATATTCATGTCTACTTCCATTTATGATTAATAATAGAGGAGAATTTTATTTGTAAACAAAAATTATAAGGATATTAAACAGTTATTATAAAGGTTTTCAATGTTGTTAACAAGAACTTTATCTAAGGTTGTATATGTAGTCTACAATACCTTAGATATAAGAACAGTAATTTTTTCAGTAAGATTGCAGATGTGAATGACACTATTGGGACCTTAACAGAGTTTTAGAGCAGTGATTTTCAACCGGTGTGCCATAGAAATTTAGTTGTAGGTTCAACTTGCCATAAGATAAAAAAGATTGAAAAACACTGCTTTAGAGCATGTCCATAGGAGCAAAAAAGTCAAAGGAATTATATATGATCCTTCAAGAGATATAGCCCCTGAAAATAGCCTACTTTCAGACACTATAGGGAGTCATGCTGCACCAGTGGTGCAGTTAGGATTTAATCTTGGGGAGCCAAGTTGAATGGATAAAAACATTTTTAATGTGGACTTCAATAAAATTCCTACCTTATGTAGCCACTAATTCATAAGTACTATAGAAATAGAAGACATGACACAATATAAATACAAAAAATAAATTTTAATTAGGAAAATTTTTAGAAAATTTTCTAGTGTTCTTTTTTCTTTTTTTCTGGAGGTTGCCAGGGCTCACCTTGAGACACTTTAGTGGCCACTTTGCTGCAAACTCCATTGAACTTATCATGTGTTTAACAGATACCCCAGTGCAGTGGTCAGACATTCTAATGATATTTATTAGTAAAGAATAAAGAAAAGTAAAGTTTAGAAACAAAATAATTATTTTACTGTGCAAGCTATAAAATACAGATGTATTTATGTATAAAATTAAAATTATATGAAGTCTGTCTTTTTTAAAAAATCTTATTGAATGTTTACATAAAATTGTACCAATCATTCACTTATTGAAATATTTGCCCCCGTTACATTACTAGTAGATTTCAAACAATGATATGTCAGTGAAACTTATCATCCTTTTTTTATGATTTATATTGATTTACAGTTTTATTTGAATCACTTTCAGATACATCTTATTCTAGAAATTTTATTATAAAAACAAACTTGAAAAAGATTTTTAATCTTTTGCTCTGAAAATGAAAATACTTTTAGTATTAAAAGGATTATATACTACTATTTATTTAAAATCTAAACATATGAATAAAATTATAAATTAGTCAATTATTGAAATATCTTTACTCTAATCTTTCTTATAACCATTTCTTACCATTTGGCACTTGTGCAGTTGTAAAAAGTACAACGTCACTTTTTTATTATTATTTCTATAGAGGTGAGGTTAGGCTATTTCACATCATTCATATTTTTCCATCAACACTTTCTCTAAGCACATGTAAAGTTGTTTTCACCGGGGCTATAGAGTCGGAGTCATGGAGTTGGGAGGAATTTCTGGCCAGAGGAGTTGGAGTCAGAGTCGGAAAAAATGTGTTGACTTAGACTCTGGTATTTTAAATTTAATTTAGTTTTTTATTTAAATGAAAGAAAATTTATTTTATATTTATTAATTATTTAAAATGTTATTGTATTTTGTTATAATTCATTTATTTTAAATACAAAATGCAACAATTTAATTTATTAAATATGTAGTTTTCTTTGTAGTATTTATGTTTGGTAGTTAAATTATTTTGACCCAATTGAATTTGAATATTTTTGATTCATTCCTTTATTATCCCTGATCTAAATAAGTACTCTATTTTTCTGAATGAGCCAGACTAATTGATCAGAGTACATATTTTTCTTTTCTGAACAAGGGGCTGAAGTAG